TTAATGTGATAATATATCATAACATCTATGGTTTGCCTCCCAATCATAGTGTTTCTCCTTAATATATTTCAAATCTCTTGAAACCACCAGTACTTCCTAATGTGCTAAATTACCTATGGAAAGGCAAAAACTCAAAATCTCACAAAAAATGCTATAATTTTACCTACAAAGATTTTTCTTATGTAAATTGGAGCAAAATGAATTGGTTTAAGGGTACTCTCTCAAATATGCTACATTTACTTGTAAACTTCTCTTAATGGTTTTCTTGCATATGATGTTATGAATTCCAGAGATTTATACTTGCAAACTCTAGGTATTTTCTTTAAAGTATATTTGAAACTCATGTCACATGTATTTTGAATGCTGTTACTCTTTCTTTCTTCTTAAAAAGGTTGCTCCGTAGGGTTTTATCTTCCACTTAGGATGTAGCATGTAGTAATTTTTTAGTTCATGCTGAACGAATAACCAACAAAATCACTCTTATTTTCTCATTATTAGCAACTCGAATTCCTGCATAGTTCTTATGGCTAAAAAGAAATGCTAGAAATTTTAGAAATCAAGCCTCTTCAACTGATGTTATTTAAGAAAAAAATCATTTTTATTATTAAGTACTAAAAACTGAATATAGAAGTTCGTAAGGGACATTCTTCAATCGATATATTTCCTTTATAGGATATAACACTTTGCTTTCCTCTGTCTGTACTAATGTTGTACCTATTTTTTAAAATCTTTTTTATTGGACAGAATACTAGAATATTTTTTGGTTCGCCTTTGAGAGATTCAATTGAAAGTCTCCTTGCTTTTTGGATGGAATTTTCATTGTATGTTGGTTGTGAGGTTTATGTCTACTTGATCTAAATTCCTTCTTTAAGCATGGATATTGTTGGAATACTTTTTGGGTTGCCTTTTTGGATGTTCCACCAAAAGCCCTCTTGCTTGCTAGATAAAACTCTCCAAATATTCAATTTCTTGAGAGTAGTGATGAACTTTAGCAGCTCTACAATGAGTTCAATCGACTAGTCATCCAAGCAATTCACTTGATTTTTGTTTCTCTTGTTGCCATGCTTGCAGCTTTGCAGAGTTATTTTTTTTGTCCCTGATCTGAATAGATTTCTCTTGCCTTAGTTTTCTATTCTGAATGGAACCGTATCATTGTTATCCCATTGCACTTCCCGAGCTCTACTTTGTCATTGGACAAAACTCATGTTGGTTTTGTTGGTTACAAGTGATTGATCCTCACCATTAAAATTATATTGTTATATTAAAAATAAATTTAGTATATCTAATCAGCGGTTCCCTTTTATACTCTCACAAGTCTCCTTCTATCTTGGATGGAACTTAAAGATTTGTATCAATTGCTAAGAATAGTGAATCAAAACTAGAATAAAGTTATTCTAGATACATTAATAGTTGAAATTATTGTCAACTCAAAACTTAAATAGACCGTTTGGGATCACTTTTGTTTTAGGTTTATTTATTTATTTTTATTTTGTATATATTTTGATTTTAAATAAAGCGCGTTTGACATTTTTATACTTATGATATCATTATTTTTTAAAACACCCAAAAATATATTAATTTATTTTCAGAAATAAAAATATTAACACATAAAAAACACAACAAATAAATATATTGAAAAAAAAAGAATAAATAAATAAATAATAAATAAATTGATCTCAAATAAGCTCCAAATTAAAATGGCTAAAACCCAAGCCTTTGGTACTTTCACAATAAATTATTTTCCAAATATTTGTTTTGAAATTAACTCAAATCTCAACCTTTTAATAATTTAGAAAAAAAATTTTAATTTGTATGACCTAACTTCAATTATATTATTTGCATCACTCCCCAGCAACGAATGCCTGCATTGCACCATCATTCTATTGTTTATTGTCAAAGTTGTTAGCATCCGATGAATGCTTACCGGCCAAATATTTTATGATTATAATACTCCAATTAATTATTATTACTTTGTATTAATCATATGGTAATATCAATGCAGAATAAAACAAAATGTCTTGTTTATTAAATATTAAATAAATAAATAAATAAATAAATAAATAAATAAATAGAGCTTCTTGAAGTATGAGGACTTGGAACTTGGCCGAATCGTGCAAGGTTAGGAGAGAATCTCCTCTTGGATGCCTTTTGTTGGTCTTTTATTTTATTTATTTTAAAAATATTTACATTTATACCACCCTATTCCTATTTATTTACATATCTAAACCTTAAAACTTCAATTTTTACATATATGACCCCTTTTATGAGAATATCATCCATACACTTTATAAAAGTTAAAATAGATTTGGGTGGTACATATGTAAAAAAGTAAATTTTGGGTGTTGGATATATAATTATGTAGGAGTTGAGTGGTAAGTACGTAAAGGCCCTTATTTATTATTGTTTTATGGCTTAGATTAACATACTTAGGGTTGAGCATTTGATGGTGGACGGATCGGTTTTCAAATTGGCCAAATTATTTGATTTAAAATGTTTGATTGAAATAGAACCAATCAAACCAAAATTTAATTTGATTTAAATGATTTGAATGTAAACAAATCGAAATTTAATTGTTCATGAGAGTCTGGCTACGAGTAATATTACGAATTCACATATCTTATAAAGTATGATTTTCAATTATTTTCATGAATCCCATGTTTATTTCAATCAAATGTTGTATATAATAAAAATTTTGATTTAATCAATTTGTTTGACATGAAATTAAATTTAAGTTTTTTAGTTTGTCGGTTAAATGAAAATTAAAATCAAACGAAAAATGAAAAATCGAATATGATGGTCTTAAGAACCAAAAATTGAATCATATTTTGAAACTAAACCGATCGAATCAACCAAACTTAATCAGTCCAGTTCAGTCTTTTAATTTTGACTAAATAATGCACGCCCTTATTATATTGGCGAAAATATTTTACCTAAAGTCAACTCAAATTAAACTCATCTATTTGAATATTTTTCAGTCAAAAAGACTAATATGATCCGTTTAACCACCTAATTAACAGGCCCATATAGTAATTAAATAATCAAACTGATTGAATAATAAACAGGTCTATAATTTTGATTTAAATTAGATAAAAAAAGTAATTATTATCATAATAAATAATAGCTTTAATACACATACAATTTCCCAAAATACCCCAATACTTTCTTTAACTTTTTTATTTTATTAATATATTGTGTTAAGTACTACTATATATATAGATGTAATAGACATGATTGGCTTAGTTTCTCATCAAAACATAAGTATCACCTTTATTTGAATTTAGGCTCATGTAAGATCTCACACATAATTTTACTTCAAACTCAAATTCTAATTATTGTGTGTGTATGTGTTTCAAGCTTATGAATATGATCTTAGTGTAGACTTACATTCATTTTTAAAAGCATTAGATATAGATTCATATTATAAATTTAAAACAATTTTGACTTCACCTTGTCATGAAGTTTCCAATTGACTTATGTTAATTACCTTTAGATCAATTTTTACAAATGTTGGTTATGAATAACATTATTGATTCATAATTTGTTAGATCAATAACTACTTTTGCAAAAAGGAAAAATAATGAACTTATCATACATGATAAAGAGGAGCTAATGAGCTCTCTAATTTATTGTACAAGTGAGTGGATAACTAGTATCATACATGTAAGTTTTGGTTGAAACATTTAATGATGGCAAATGAGCTAGGTGACAATTATCATTGAAGTTTTTAGGATTAACTTATTTATAATAGATATATTTGTATTTTTTAAATATGTTATTCAATAAAATATGTAATCATGCCCCCTCTAAATCTTTTAGATAATTAATTTATGCCCACACTAAGATAAATTTCTAGCTTTCCCTGATATTGGGAGGTGTTTAGAAATGTCAATTGTCCCATTACAACACAAATATTATTGCTAATTCCTAGTTCGAATGAAATGAATGTTGAATTATTATGGAAATACTATGAGTATTTTCATAATGTACATAGACATGGTTACATAATGGGAACAATATGATACATAAGTTGTATTATTACATCCATATATAACATTTTCTTTTTATTGGAATTGATTTATATGTCAGACATAAAATATCTTATGATATATGTTTCGTGATTAACTTTGCAATACTATTTTTTTTTTTCAAAAAAGGACAACATAGAGGTGGAATAACGAATTAACAATATTTTAATTTTAAAAGAAGTGTGTAAATTTTATAATATCATCTTTGAGAAGATTATTGTTGTATATGTTCCTAAAGAGCTCAATGATGGCATAATGACTCAAGCATATTAGACTATTAAATGAAAGCTAGAAGTTATTTTTCTCTCGCACAAATGTTATTGGAAAAATAATGGCTTTGTGAATTAATACAAATTTGAAAAGGTGAAATGTTAGAAAAAAAAATGTAATACAATGATTGATAATTATATTTCTCTCCATGCATAGCTATGATTAGTTTGATTTACTACAATGTAAACATTGTTAAAATTTGCAAATGAAATAGAGAAGAAGAAGAGAAAGAGAAGAGACAATGAAAAAGTGGCTAGAGTTTCAATTGCATCGAGCACCTCATTACAAGAATAAAAGATAAATATATATATATATAATAAGAAAAAGGACTAAAATACTCTTAAGTAGGGTAAAATAATAGAAATATAAAGACTATAATATATAGCAACCCCACCCCCCTAAAACTCACGATGCATCAAGGGGAATCATCGAGAGTTTGCTAGTTAAAAAGGAAAAGCGTTGAATGGAATGTGATTTCGTAAACATGTCAACAAGTTGCATGACAGAACAAATTTAGGGTAAGATGATAGTGCCATGTTGAAAGTGGAAGCGAGTGAAATGAAAATCAATCTCAATATGTTTGGCGCGCTCATGGAAGACTGAGTTGTGGGCAATTTGTATAGCACTCTTGTTATCACAATACAGAGGAGTTGGGCTAGAGAAAGTGACACCCATATCATCAAGTAACCAGTGCAATCAAAAAAATTATGGAGTGGTGGATGTCATGGCACGATACTCAACTTCAGTAGAAGAGCAAGAGACAACTACTTGCGTTTTGCTCTTCCAAGAAATGAGAGAATCTTCTAGAAAAAAAAAACAAAATCCTGTGGTAGACTTTTGATTGGTGGAATCACCACCCCAATCAACATCTGAGTATGCACATAATTCCAAGGAAGAAGAAGTAGGAAAGAGAAGACTCTGAAATTGAGTGCAACGAAGATAACGAAGAATGTGAAGAACACCTACCCAATGAACTGTAGTAGGAGAGACAACAAACTGACTAACAACATGTACTGCATAAGCAATATCAGATCTAATGATGGTAAGATATACCAAGCTGCCAACAAGTGTACGATACAAAGTGGGATCGGACAAATGAACTCGATCAGAAGAGGTATAGTGAACATCAAGCTCAAGAGAACTAGCAATTGTCTGAGTATCAGAGAGATGAGCTTGTTTAAGAATGGTGCCAATATACTTAGATTGGGAAAGAAGATAACCTCTAGGAGAATGAGCTACTTCAATCCCAACAAAATATCGAAGAGTACCCAATTCTTTCATCTCAAAATGTCGAACTAATTTTAATTTCAACTCTATAATCCCATTATCATCATCTCCAGTAATAATCATGTAATGAACATATAAAGAGAGTATGATACAACCATGAGAGGTACTCTTGATAAACAAGGCAGTGCCATGTGAGCTAGAATGAAAATTAAGAGATGCAATCACAATAGAGAACTTTTCAAACCAAGCTCAAGGAGCTTATTTAAGGCCATGGAGAGCTTTATGTAATTTACAAACTTCACCTTGATTATGAGAGACACTTGGTGGAGGCATCATGTAAATTTCCTCTTGAAGATCACCATTTAAGAATGCAGTTTTAACATCTATTTGAGAGATATATCACTGATGAATAGAGGCGACTACAATAAGAGTACGAATAGTAGTCATTTTGACAACAAGAGCAGACGTTTCTTCATAATCCAAACCATATTGTTGAGAAAATCACTTAGCGACTAAACGAGCTTTATATCACTCAATTGATCCATCAAACTCGATTTTGATCTTGTACACCCAACAAGAACCAATTGCACGTTTTCCTGGAGGAAGAGATATAAGGTCCCAAGCGTATGTCTTATGCAAAGCAGAAAGTTCTTCTGTCATAGCTTGTTGTCAAAGAGGAATAAGAACAACCTTTTGATAGGAAGAAGGCCCAGACAAATTGTGAATGCAAATTAAAAAGGAAGCAAGAGAAGTAAAATAAGTGGAGTAAACAAAATCTGGCAATTTAGTAGACTTACGATCACGTTGAGGGTAACGAGGAAGAGGAGGATCCACAGTCACAGAAGGTTCTTAGGGACAGTAGAGATAGGGGGAACATCAGGATCTGCAGAACTACCAATGTCAATTCTGCAAAGCTCAATATCAAAATTATTTAGATGATGAATCACATGATGAGGTTCAATATCTGTATTTGTGTGAAAAAGATCAATTGAGATAAGATCATACTTTATAAGGTTATGAGAAGAATGAGGAATAGAGTAAAATGATATATGCTCAAGAAATACAACATGACGTGAGACAAAAAGTTTTTGAGTGACAGGATCATAACAAAGATATCATTTCTGACCATCATCATAACCAAGAAATACACAGAGATTCGAACGCGAAGACAATTTATTACGTTGTACATGAGGAAGAAGAACCAAAAAACTCTCAAAGAAGAATAATCAAGAGCGTGACTATATAGTTTTTCAAAGGGAAACAAACCTGAAGTAACAGAAGATGAAATTTTATTAATAATATAGAGTACAGTAAGAATAACTTAGCCTTAAAATTCACTTGGAACAGAGTCAGACAAAAGGAGAGAACGAGCAGTTTCAACAATGTGACGATGTTTTTTTGCAACAACTCAATTTTATTCAGGAGTGTCAATACAAGAAGTTTGAAGAAAAGTACCATCAGAGACAAGTAATTCAAAGAATTTAGTAGAGGTATATTCACCTCCCAAATCACATCGAAAACACTTAATAACAACATTATGTTAAGTTTTGACAAATGCACAAAACAAATGATAAATATTAAAAAATTCAGAACAATTTTTCATAAGATAAATCCAACAATAATGAGTATAGTCATCATAGAATGAGATATAATATCTTGATACACCTTTTGTAAGAGCAGGAAATGTACCCCATACCTCAAAATGAACCAAATTAAAAGGTGTAACAAAAAGTGAAACATTTTTAGAAAAATGTAAAACAGAAAATTTAGCAAGTTTACAATCACAACAATCATAAATATCATGAGTTTGTAACTCGCCCAAAACTCCTATAGAAACTAAGTATTTTAGATGAGAAGAAGAGACATGTCCAAGACGCGAGCGTCATAGATAAAAGTTAGAAGATGATGAACTCAAACAAAATGATGACATGTCAACACGGGAAGTTGCAACATCTGGAACTCTTAGCTCGTCCAGAATATAAAGTCTCCCTTGTCTACGTCCTGTCCTAATCAGCCTCATAGATTGCGAATCATGCACATAACAAGAGGTGGATAAAAGTAAAATTGAGAAACCAGAATCACACAATTGACCAACAGAAACAAGATTCAAAGTAAGATTGAGAATATATTAAACATTTGAAAGGGATAAATGTGGTGTGCATACAGACCCAGTGTCTGCTAATATCATAGGAGTACCATCAGCTGTCTTGGCTGATACAGATGATACAGGATGTAAGGATACAAATGATGTAAAATCAGATGACATTTGATGTGAGGCTCCAGAGTCAAGAATTCAAATGGAAGAAGATATACCTGATGAGCTAGAGGAAGACAAATCTATATTTGAGGAGGCGGGCATGTCATGTGGTTGTATGGCAATAAACTTTTGAAACTGCTTAGCAAGCGTGACTATTGTAAGGTCTGAAGAATATGCATGTCCAACACAAAGAGAGTCTTTCGAAGGAGAAACAATTGCAACATTTGATGTTGGAGTCCTGAAGCTTCGTGGATGCAACTGATTGAGTTATTGTGTCTGCTGTGATTTGTTCAAAAACTTTGGACATTAAGCTTTCCAATGAAATTTTTGCTTACAAAAGCTACATTCATCAGAACCAATCTTTCCATAAGATTTGCTTTTATTATGAGTAGCTGCAAAAACATACTGATTATGAGTGGGGATAATCTCTTTCTCTACATTCTATTTCTCAGATTGAGACTTGAGACAAATCTCTTCAACTAATAACTCATTAATCACTGAGTCAACTGTTGGAAGAGGATTGCGATATAAAATTGTCCCACGATGTCCTTCAAAATCATCTCGAAGAGCCATAAAAAATTGAACCAAACGTTGTTCTTCTCTACGATCAGTGTATGGTTTAAAAGCTCGTAATTCTACAGATTCAGTAAGAGATAACTGATTCAAAAGGTTGGTCATGACCGAATAAAATTCTTGGATGCTCATGTTATTTTGTTGAAGAACGTGAATATCTATCTCTAATTGATATTACTTTGTAAAATTTGACTGCACATATAATCTTTTCAAATGATTACAAACTTCTTTAGCAGTTTCATATTTTGCTAATTGGACACCGATTGATTGAGAAATTGAATTATTGATCCAATTGATTAATTTTGAATTGTTTGCTTTCTATACTTCCAACGTTTCTTTATATTTTCCATCATTTTCATCTATGGGCTTAAAAGAGGTTACAGAAGCACAACCCCACATTTTTTTGCCTTTAAAAAAAATTCTTCAATACAGAATTCCAATATGAGTAATTTTGACTATTTAATTGCACACTAATAGACTGAAGAGAATCATCTTTTTCACCAGTCATTATTACTATTATCAAAATAAAAACATAAAACAAAGAAATACAAAAAACAATAGGTCACCCGAAAAACTGCAATTGGGTCTATCGTTGGAGACTGAAAATGACGCCAAAAATTGGGTATATCACTGGAAACTGCGAAATAACCCAGAAACTGCAAATAGATCCCCGAAAGCTATGAATCATCGTAACTTTCTCTGGTACCATGTTAAGATTTGCAAATGAAATAGAGAAGAAGAAGAGAAAGCGAAGAGACAATGGAAAAGTGGCTAAAGTTTCAATTGCATCAAACACCTCATTATAAGAGAAAAAGATAAATATACATACAATAAGCAAAAAGACTAAACCACCCTTAAGTAGGGTAAAAATAATAGAAATATAAAGACTATAATATCTAACAAACATTATGTTTTTCAGAGTGATGGACGTCTTTATATTGCTCGGTTTATGTATTCAAGTTATATAATCTCCATCTTCGAAGGAGAATTAATCGACGTCTTTATTTCCTCCACAATCTCCATCATTGTCTGCTAGTCGTGTTGACATGCACCTTACACGTGACGACGTGATTGATGTTTAGTTTCTCATTGTGATGTCATGAGTTCAAACCGTGCATATTGTCTTTTGTGCTTAACTTTCTCGAAAAAATAAAATTATGTGTTTGGTGTTTTCATTTGGTATAGAATATTTTACTCAAATAAAACATTATTTTCCTTGATGGGCAATATATATATATATATATATATAAACCCATTACTTCATCATATGCTGTATTAACTATTAGATTTGAATATGATCCATTGGCTTGCTATAAATGCAGTTTATATGATTCCATTATAAGTATACATTTATTCAGCAAGTATATTGCGAAGTCGATGTCAAATTAACCGTAAAAATGAAACATTTTAACTGATCCCATACCGTAAAAAACAAGATTTACATACATGCCACTCAATTCCTATGCATTTACATATCTAACACCAAAACTTAAATTTTTATATATATGCCACATTATCTATACAAGAAAACATGTATTTCACTAATAATGATATTTTGCAAGTCATATGAAGGATTTGGGCGGCGTAAATGTAAAAATAAGTTTTAAATGTTAGAGATTAGATATGAATTGGGTGGTATTTATGTAAATGCCCCAATAAATAACTATATATAAATATATAAAAATAAGGGCATATAATTAATTATATTAAAACGGCTTGCAATTATTATAATATTTGTTAGTTTACGCATGTTGACTATTTCTTTTGACCGAAAATTGAAAATAGCTATTTTAATAAATGTCTTAAAAATTTCAAGGCAGTTAATTGCACAAAAAAATGAGAAAAATATTTCTGATTCTGCCATTTTAATCCCATAATTTACAAAAATATCCATTTAGTTTTCATTATTGTTTTAATAAGGGCTGAAACGGTCCCAATTGAGGATTGTTTTATTTTAGCTCTTACTGTATAAATCTAGAGGCTACTTTGATACTTTGATAAATATTATTTGTCGAAATTAATTTTAGGTGTTTTAAGTTAAGTTCATGTCTAATTTTGTATTTATTGTCCTCAAAATGTTTCATTTATGCTATTCAATGCATCAGGAATCAAAATTTTAGATTTTTGCTACTTACATTCTACAATTAATAGAACATCATTATGCAAGAAAAATATGTTTATGGTCTTACACGAAACACGTGTTGAAAGATCCAGACGATACATGAATATCCAAGATAAGAAGAAACCAATAAAATGAAGACCAATCAGACGATCCACTTAAGAGCCGGTTAATTCGAGAAACGGCCAACTTAAATGACAGATCAACTCGAGAGCGGATCACGCAAGCTCAACCGATTCTCAAAATCGAGTGACAGACTTGACCAAAGGTGTCAATGACATATTTTTCATTTCACAACTATTTTAATTCCATCTAATTTGATGAATTGTAAACATAATTGGGGTTGGTGGATGAAATTTAAGACCATAATACTTAATTCATAAATCTTTTCCTCTCTCTCATTCTCTTTTTCTAGACCAACAATTATATTTATTTAAATTAAAAACTTTAAAAATTAAATTAAAAAAAAGACCAAATTAGCCTTCCAATTTATACCCAAGATGATGAACATAACTGTTAAATCCGCAGCAGGACCTTCAAATTATCACATCATTACATTCTATTTCAATCACCCTTTCTATTTTGGGTAAGAATCTACTAATTAATTTCCTAATGATAATTGAAAACATTACTGTCAATCAACAAAAATGTAATAATATTTAAAAAAAAAAAACATTTGGCAGAAATTTCACCATTTCTAAGAATTGATGGTAGAGTTCCGATTAAAAAAAAAAGGAGTTTTTAAAAACAATTATGAAGATCTTAATATGAAACCAGATAAGCTTGAACAGTTCTTTTATTATTTGGGTGATTGTTCATTACCATGTCAACTTAGTAAGACAAAGCTCAAATTATTTATTTATTTTTTTCTAAGATATTATATTCCTCCGACTAAAATAACTATAAGATATAGTTTTTGTCTGACTAATGAGCCAATTTTCTTCTAATAATTAATTAATACTGACCTCCTTTTTCGTCTTCTCGCCCCAAATACTCTCACCATCAACACCTACAGCTAGCATTCGGCTTTTCAGTGTCTATGCGGCAGTCCCTTCCCTCTCTTCTTCCCCCTTCTTATCTTCCTTCCTTTTCCCTTGTCCACTGAATGCTCACAAAATGGGAAAGCTCTTCTTCTGTACTTCTCCATGAAACAAGACACTTGAGGAGAAAGGAGAAGAGAGCTCGCTCTGATCCAGTCGCTATGGGAGTCAGCTATAACTACGCCTCTTCTGTGCTTCTTTGCGCTGAGGATAACAACAGCATCCTTGACTTAGATGATGGTGATGATGATCTGGGAATAAATGGAAGATTTTTGGGGAGTGGGATTGGGAAGATTTATGATCAAAAGACTGGTTTTTTCATGGATTCCCTTATGGTTTTCCCATTACAAACTGAAGAATGCTTATTTGCGTTGCTGGAGAAGGAATCTGAGCTTCTTCCGGCGAGAGATTATGCTGAGAAGTTGAGGAGTGGGGCATTGGATATGTGTGTAAGAAAGGATGCTGTCGATTGGATTCGGAAGGTGCCATCTGCTTTCATTGATCTTTATCTTTGCTTTTCCCCATTTTTGATTGATCTTAGTGTTGGATTTCGATCTGAAGTTTTTATCTTGATTGATTTTTGATGGAGGAGGAGATTGATAAAGTTGGACGCTTTTAATGCAGTTTCTTCTTTATTTTTACTTAAGATTAGCACAAAGCTGTTGGATTTTTGTTATTTGTGGTTAATTTCATGAAATGAAACATTTTTCTTAGTATTTTTGTGAGATTTTGCTGTGCGGATAGTTCAATGGGCTGACTTTCTGAAGCCATTTGCATTTTCGATTCATCAGATGTTTATTGTTTGAAAATATTGGTTTATGTGTTATTTTGGCATTGTAGTTTGTTATTATTGGTAGATATGTGGATCGATTTATTTCTCTTTTTCATGATTAGGATTTGATGATGAGTGTAATAATATTTCATTGTGTCTCTTCTCTTTATTTATCCTTTTTTTTTTTTTTGATTGAGTGAAATGTTGAAATATGCAGGTTCATGCCTATTACAGCTTTGGACCTGTCAGTGCCTACTTATCTGTAAATTATCTGGATCGATTTCTATGTGGCTATGAGCTCCCAGTAAGAACTTCAACTAATCATTAACTTGGACTATAATGGAGATTCTTTCTCTTACCAATTTTATTTTTGCTGAATATTGTGACATTTTTTAGTTTTTTTTTTTTTTATGAATAATGCCTTGATATTTGGTTAATTATTTTATCTGCTAATGTTTTTGTTGTTCTCTATGTATAGCAAGGGAAGGCTTGGATGACCCAATTGCTAGCTGTGGCCTGCCTATCTTTGGCTGCTAAAATGGAGGAAACTGAAGTTCCTCTTTCTTTGGATTTACAGGTGAGGAGCCATGAACTATTTTTTAAAAGGAATATTTGTATGCATAACACTGACTTCCTATCTATTTACATATCTAACTACTAAACTTTCATTTTGTCATCTATGCCACCTTATCTATGCATGAAAAGGTGCACTTCACTTTTTAAATGTTAAAAATGGTGGTTTTTTTAATGTCATATGAAAGATTTGGGTGATATAAATGTAAAAAATAAACTTTTCGTGTTGGATATATAGATACATTGAAATTGAGTGGTATGTCTGTTTCAATCTAAAATTTGTTGCCCTCATTTGGATTATGATACTGATTTTTATTTCTAATTGATGCTATCGGTATGATGCAATAGATAGGCAATGCCAAATATGTATTTGAGGCAAAGACGATACAGAGAATGGAGCTTCTAGTGCTGAGCACCCTCAAATGGAGGATGAAATCAGTCACACCTTTCTCATTCTTAGATTATTTTATTCACATTTTTAATGATGGAAATTCTCCGAAAGAATTGGAGATCCATCGCTGCGTGGAGCTCATTTTGTGCACGGTTAAAGGTCGGTTTTTGGAACGAAAAATGCGATTTTGTTGTTCTACTTTAAGAGTTTGATTCCTATGAAGAAAAATACCTTGAAATTCTGAGAAATAATGTCACCATGTTTTCAAAATTTATGATTGATTTATGTCACTCATGCAGGAATTAGGTTCTTAGAATTCAGGCCTTCAGAAGTGGCTGCTGCAGTTTCTTTAACTGCATTTAGTGATGTTGAGACAGTGTGCTTAGGGAATGCTTTGAATTGCTGTCCTTATGTTCAGAAGGTAAAAATCTACTGCAAATTCAGTTTTTTGTGTTATGGCCTTTTTTTTTTTTTTGGAAGATTTACATACATACCATTCAATTCCCACGTATTTACATATCTAACATCTAAACTTCAATTTTTACATATATGTCACCTTACTTATGCATGAAAAGGTTAATTTCAATTTTTAATAGTTAAAATAGTGGTATTTTCGATATGATATGACATATTTGGGTGTGGTGCATTTGTAAAAAGTATTGTTTAGGCTTCATATATGTCAATACATAGGAATTGGGCGTTATGTATCTAAATGCACTTTTTTTTTCTTGTTCCAACGTGAATTTGGATATTGGTTGAAGGAGAAAGTGATGCAATGCTATGAAGCAATCCAAGACATGAGATCAATGGAAGAGATTCCTCCATCGATTTCCTCGGCTCCACAGAGCCCAATCGGGGTGCTGGATGCAAAATGTTTGAGCTATAAAAGTGATCAAACAATTGCTTGCTCGCACGAAAATTCCCAGAACGACTCGCTAGCAGCAAAGAGGAGGAAGCTGAATGGCTCATGAGTATTTGTTCTTTACCTTGTGTTAAGAGGCACACATATTTTTGAAGTATTTGTTGTTTTGGTTGGTGGGAGAGATAAAACCATGAATGAGGAGGTTGAGGCCACAGAGAGAGCCAAAGAGGGGAGGCAGATATATATATATACTATATATATATATATATATATGAACTGAACAAGAAAAGAGAGAGAAATAAAAATGTAGATGAGGCCACCAGGTTATGGTTTTGTCATGAAAAAGCAGTTGCTGTTAAATTGTCTTCAGAGGAAGATGAGAAATACAATTCTGGAGGAAACCGGCCATTTATTGTCTTTTTGTTTGTGAAAAAAACATTACAAAATGGCTTTAATTAACCATTAGAACTAGCAGAGTAAAGAAGGGACAAATGCAAATCATAACAGATTTTATATGACTAATTATTAGTCTTATATCAAGCATTCAGAAACAGATTTTTGAGTTTTTCTACAGCAGTTCTTCCTTATGAGCACAATGTGAATGTCTAATCATATTATTTAGGTAAATTTACATACATACTGTTTACAATTCTTATGCATTTAAGTTTGATATTTACACTTTCAACACCGTAGCGTCAAACTTATGCATGAAAAATTGTATTTCGCTTATAAGAAAGATGGTGATAACAATATTTTTTTATGGATGTAAACATGAGTTTTTTAGATATAGAGATGTAAATACATAAGACTTGAGTGGTATGTATGTAAATTCCATATTGTTTTTTTTCCTCACTGGCCCTTATCATTAGATAAGGTTATTGAAATGGGATAGCAGACTGTTCCTTTTAAAGTGTCAATGCAATACTAATTGCTTTGATTACCTTAAAAAAGTCTAAGAGTGAAGGAGAAAGTACAGAAACAGATAATTATTTGAAAATTTGCTGCAAATCTATTAATCTTTTCTATGTGCTTTGCTTTCATTTTTTGAAAGGCTCACCTAAATGAGCTGTCAATGGCTTGGTTTGTATGCCCACTGAAGCTTTAGTAGGGTCTACCCCAACACAGTTTCAGTGACTTTGCAGTGGTTGAATAAAGAATTGTTGCATGGGGGACATTTCTATGGCATGGTCAAAGTTGGGGACCTGGCTCTACCATTCCTATTTCATTTACATATCCAAATAACTAAAGTTTGCTTTTTTAACAGTTATACCACTTAAGTATTTCATATAGCATCAAAAATATGACTTTTAACTTTTGAAAGTAAAATGCAACTTTTCATGTATTGATAAGATGGAATAAATGTAAAATTTGAACTTTAGTTGGTTTGTACGTAAATCTTCTTTTTTCTTTGTTGTTTTTTAGCGGTCCAAGGACAGGGGAGAACCCGGTCAAGTTTTTTGTCGTGGTCCATGCTCATGTGGACCCAAGTTAAGTTTCACATGGTTGTTTCCCTAACATTTAGCAACCCTATGATTTATTAACTTGATATCAAGACAGGTAAATTTCTTTTTGGGGTTTGAGAAAGAAAATAAAAATTGTGCATTTTTATATGAAGCTTTAATCATTTAAAAACAAAAGTGCGAGGCCTTATTTCTTTGCCTTGGATTTGGTTCATGTATAATAATATAAAGTGAGAAATGGAGAAAGAAATTCTTTGTACATATTGACTTGTGGGACTTGTTGGTCCGGTGAAGGGATTGAAATTGTAGTAGGTGGAGACTTTATTGTCTTTTTGAAATATTAGATGGATTGTTATAGTATAAAATTATTGTTCATTTGAGGATAAAATTCTCATCATCAAAATTTGATTTTTTGCTTTGTAAATATCTATACCATGCATTGAAGGCAGTCTTAATTATAAGCTTGTAAATGCATTAGATGTGAACTAGCCCAACAGCGCTATTTGATAATAAACTGATGGATTTACTTACATATCACACAATCCCTATGTATTTATATGTATATGACAAAAATAAACTTCTCAAACAATCATGTAACCAACGACCCTGATCAAATAAAGGCGAGCGATGATAGTCCTGCGTTAAGGAGCCAAGGAAGTATGGTGGGCTATTGGCACCTACAAGCGATTGATCTAGGGTCAAGCGAACCACCAAGGCCGAGAGCCTGGTAACTACTACTAAAGCATGGATGACAAATGTAAGACGCACTTGCCTGACCAACCGTCAAATCATAAGAATTAGTCGGCCAGGTGGCAGATGCCCAATACCACACAATCAACACAAAGGCTCATGACCGGGCAATCAAAACTGGGGACAGATGACTTAAGAGATCAACATCACACTCGAATACTTAGCGTTTGAGTTGACATTGTATATGGTATCACCCGTGACCTCTTGGTTGGTTTGCTTTATTTTTATATGGTACAACGAGTTTTGTTAGGGGGGTTCAACTTCTATAAATATGAAACATTTTTTCTCTCATTTTTTTCCTTCATTAAGGAATCTCTATCAACTCTCTAGGATTCCCTTTGCCTTTTTCTCAAAGGGGACCCTTAATTTTCTCTCTTTGTGTGTGTTCTATTCGTAGAGTGTGATTTGAGGACAAATTTTGGTTCAAGATGGAATATTTAACATCTAAACTTTCATGTTTAGTTTTATAACACCTTGGCATCATGAATTTATTCTTGGAAAGATGTATTTCACTTTTAAAAAATAATAATTGTGGTATTTTGAAGTAATATTAAAGATTTGAGTGTGATGCATTTAAATCAGAGTAGATGAAAGTGTGCACCTTAATTTTAGCATGACAATTTTTCTATACTCTAATGGGGAGAATGGGCCATGAAAATCTTTAAACTGACAAGTGTTTATTCTAATTATAGTTAATGTTTGGATAAAATGGAACATAAAAGCCATTTACAAATATTAAAAATCAAGTTCAATTTAATTGATCATTAAACCATTGTTTTGTAACATTTATGACAAACCTTCCATGTAGATCCAACAAACCATTAGAAAGAAAAATATATAAGACCTAAAACTTATTCTAAATCTACTTATCTCCTATTATACTTTTCAAAAAACTATTTTGGCTACTTGATAAATGTGCTTAAAAAGTTATTATTTTTCTCATACGACATCTCTGTTGCTAACGTTCGAAGCATGAATAAAATTCTTTGAAGAAAGACTACAAAGATTTGAAGGGAATGGGAAAACCCTCCTATGGAGAGTTGAAGGGTAGAGCATACATTGAGGCAGAGAAGGGGCACCTTGAGAAGCATATCGAGTCGAGGGTTTGCTCACCAAAATGGTTGTTTACTAAAAAGAACACAATATCATGAGTTAATATATGGGAAATGATGTTATTCTAACACATCTTTATATAAAATTGGAAAGAAAATGTCCTTATCACGAGCATAGTAAAGTCACACTATTAAGGTTCCAAATGAATTTGATCCATTTGAGGATAAGAGTCAATTTGATCTGTGAATGATAGAGATTACTTTGACAAAAAAAGGTGTGTGATTAGTTATGGAGCAAAATTATGGCTAACATTTGCTGTGATTTAAAAATAACTAATATTTGAAATCTCAATACTTTGGTATGACATTGACAAACAGTTTGAAGGCTATGAGGCGAGCTACTAGAAGGTTCTAGAGTGCTTAAAGGTTGCTCAAAGCATTGTTGTGCATGTTGTATGGAAGATACATGAGCTACTTGTCAAACAGAGCAATGATATAGCACACTTAAATTATTGGGAGTCAAGGGTGTCCTCTTTCAAGTTAAAGAAAGATATCATTCTAAAGGAGATGTATGAGGGTATGGTTGAAGCTTGCAGAGTATGGATGACTTGAAGGCAGAGCATTCTACTGTTGATAGAGATGAAGGGTTGATTGATAAAGGACAAGCTCCTACTGAGCCTAACATTAGTAAAAATCTTAGTGGGCTACATATAATTTGATTTAGTAAGTTAAAAAAAGTTATCATTCTCTAAAAGTCTACAAAGGCTTCATCTTTTTTGTCATCTCTGAGCTGCTCCTCCCTAATAACAGACTACACGGTCTCAATGTTCTTCATCCATATAGTGGCTTTATGCAGAGTTTGCTCATTGGTTAGTTACATGTGGCACATCCATTGATGAGGTATTCCTCCAAGTTCCCCACCCCCCTGCCATTCTTTATCATCATGCTCTTGAAAACATCACATTCAAAATAGGACTTTAATTTGTCCCAAGTGCCAGAATATTTTCTTAAGGGAAGAGCTGCTTATAATACTCCTTTTATAGATGTCGAATATGATGGAAATGTGGGGTTGATTCAAATTGGGGACATTGGTGTCTTTGTGTTCCTTGTGAGGGGGTATCAGGTGCTTTTGCTAAACAGGGAGGAGTTTGATATGATAAATCAAAGCTCACCAGCTTCTAGCAATGATGAATTTCCATCAATAAATTTAACATGAAGTTGGCAATTTAATCCCTTGAATATACTCTTTGGCACTATTGTACTTAGTGGCTTTTAATAATAAATTATTAAGGGCCATGAACACATTTTTAGCCATCAATAATTTGATGTTCCAGGATACAACACATGAATAAAAAGTGGCTTTAGAGAGTTTATTATTCCCATCAGTGACTTTGTGAAAGGCTTTGTTGAAATGATGGGTCTATTCTATAAGAAACTCCTTAGCTTTGAGCAGAACAACTTGATAATATCCCAAATGAAGAGAGACTTGTGGACTCGTTGCACCATGGGTGCACTCATGGTGATGATTAGACAAAATAATGATTATAATTGGAGGATGCAAAAAGAAATTTTGTTTCAGAATCTTATAGGTTTCTCTTTTGAAAATAATAATAACAAAAAGATGGTGCAAAATATGAATTGATGACTTACTAATTATATAGTTATCAATAAATCCTTTTTTTTAATGCAATCATGTTTGTAGATAAATTTTAAATTGTATTAATACTGTTTGAGTATCACACAATTCTAATATGTTTTCATATTTAACACCTAAATGTTTATATGTATATGTATAACACTCAAATATGTCGCGTACCTCGGTCTCTTGGTCGACATCCATGGTATAAGACCCCTCAAGTCGGGGATTCAAATCCACTCTGACACAGTTGTACTTAAAAAGGTGGTACTCGGATTGTTAAGCATATTAGGGGTGGCTGGAGACTCGTATAACAGCCTCTGACCATTCATTAT